CCACGGAGCCGCGGGGTGATTCGGGGCAAGGTGAGGAGCAAAGCCCTGTGCCCCCCACACGTGGGGCAGACACCACCTCCTCTGGAAATATAAGACATCTGTGGGGAACACAGCCCTGATGGCCAACACTGGTCGAGACGAGTACCCTGACAGTACACGAGCTGTCTGTCTGCGCGTCAAGGACGTCACCAGCAGAAGAGCGGAGAAAACTTCAAAGCATCGTGCAACAGCTCAAGGAAAAAAAGGGGCGTTTCCTCATCTCCTGGCATCTTTTTTTGGCATGATGACTGGCTGTACGTGCCCTCTGTGGGTGTCGCTTTTTGGGCAAAGGTGACACGTTTCGTGGACAAGCCTGCGTTTCCTTAATTGCATTTCTGCATCAGAAGCTTCTGCCGGAATTTCAGAGATCCAGCAGCATTCCAAAGGCAGATTTTGCAAGTAGTTCATCATCCGGGCGCTGTAGAAACGGGTGGTTTTCAAGGCAGAGCTCGAGGTCAGGACATGTCTCAGTGGCACTGCTGGCTCCCTGCCTGCTGCAGCCCAGGGCTCCGGTTGCCTGCAGGCAGCCCTGCCTGCACAGCCATGTCAGAGGCTGCACAAGCACATCCATGGGCTCAAAAACTAAATAACCAGGGGGTCTGTTCGCTGGGGGGAGGTCCAGAGCATCTCCGCTCATCTCCTCCAGTCTTTCTCCTTTTTGTTCCTTTTCACCATGTCTTTTTCCTGCCTGTCATTGCCTGTGATTATTTTCCCCCTCTTAGAGCCAAATGCCAGCTTGCCTTCTGGTTTTGCTGCCTACCACAAACTCCAGAGCCCTTCTCTATTTCATAATTTGTATTATTAGCACATCTGTACCTTGAATGCTCCGGTCAGTTCAACTTTTAACTTTATCTTTTTTTTACCTGAAAACATTGCAGAATCAGTTACTGGAAATGAGGACAGACTCCTCTTCGCAGAGACTGAAAGGATTAGGGCTACTTTGTTCCCCGAGCTGACACGCAAGAAGGGAGATGACGGTAGGCAGAAAGTAAACCCCCTCTTCCTTTTTATTTTCTCAGGCTGGATGGTGACAGCGTTGAAAGGCAACATTTAAACCACTATTTTTTTCCAATTTATCGAGGCTTTGGGGTTTTATTAATAGGTAGATGCTCGGGTGGAAGGTATGAGGAGCGGTTAATGTCGTTAATAAGCGAGAGAGCTTAACAGAGCTCATGTGGGAAGCAGCCCGGGACTGTCGCTGCTGTATTTATCTCTGTGAGCGGGTGCAGCAGGTGTGGGTGTTCTCATAACGAAGCTTTTCTGTGATTAATTGGGTAATGAGAGACTCGACAGCCTCCTCGTTGGGGAGAGGTCGGGAGGGGAAACGGCATTTGTGTGCCTCCAATAAGGTGAAATCAGGGGGTGCCTGGTCCTGGGTTGGTGACGTGGGACCTTGGTGCCTTTGACACATGAGGTTTGGGTTTTAAAACGGAGCTTTTCATCCCATTTCTCCCAGGATGGCTGCATAGAGGCTGACTTGAGCACCAGGAAAGGGGAAAACTCTGGAGGAGAGCCACAACTGTGTCGCCCGCAGCCTCTGTCCTCTGGATACCTCCGTTCCTCGCAGCGCAGGGGTGAGGTCAGGCACCAATCCTGGCTTAGCTTTGTTTTTCAGGCAAGGAGCTCTGATACGCATCCTCAGACAGTGTCACTGCCTTAAACAGTCAACAACGATGGGTTTGTGCTAAGGGGAGCTAATTTATTTAGCGGTCAGGTAGACCAGCAATGCTTGATTTGGCATTTGCCCCCCCCCCGGATCCGTCCCCATTTCAGTGGATCCCGTTCAGTTGGGAAAGGAGATGAATCTTGGCACCAGAGCCGTGAACTGTCCCTGCCTGAGCAGTGGCAAGGAACCAGGGTGGCATCTCAGGTGCACTGTGGGTTTTTTTGATCCAGATATTTGGGATTTTTAAGGCTTGGATTCAGGGATTTTAGTGTACAAAGGTGATCTCAGCTGCTGAGGGGCGTTGGGTGCTAGGTTTGGGCATGAGGGCGATATGCAGATTGTCCCAACCTCTGCCCCACTGCGCTCACGTGTTCTGGCGGAGCTGTAATGTGACCTCGCGGAGGAAACGCCAGAAAAGATGGAAGTTTTTCAGGAGCAGTTGAGTTTCTTGGGATTTTGCTTCCTTCGCAAAGCTTGGCTGCAAAGGTGAGGCAAGTCCAATCTGGGAGCGATAAAAATCATCATTCAGATGTAAAGTGCTTCCTACAAATCACCAAAAGCAGCCTTTCAGTGCATCAAACTGTTGTGACTTCTCAGGTCCTGCTGTGCAGAGCTTTCCGGGCACAGAAGGCAGCGTTATTTGTCCTGCTGGGAAAATGCTCCCACTTTTTTTCCAGCACTTCCTTTGCAAACCTCACAGGATCATACGTATGTGAGGGTTTCAACAGATGTTGATAAAAAATACTGATTTTTCTGGCTCTTGAGGGATGTTTTTTGGGACAGGCTATAGGTGTTTGGTTAAAAAGTACCCCCTGTTTTGGAGAGCTGGGGGAAAGTTGGGGCAGGTTAATTGCAAAGACGTTCAGAAGTGAAACTTCCCATGCGTGACCCGATGCTGTCAGAGGTGTCTGGGCTTCTCATCCC